CCCGCTTCCCTGTGAGATTTGTCAGTCTGTTCCATGCTTCTATGTCTCTGGATCTATTTTGTTAGGAACAATCTTTAGAATTTTCTAAAAATCAGAAATTATTCTAGTACAGGTAACAGGAACTATCGCATTAAATTTTATTCCTTCAAATTTTAACTCTTGCTGAGACAGAGAAGGGTAGATACAGAACTTGGTTGGGGTCTCTCCGGACACAATTCTGAGGCAGAAATGTCAAATTCAAAAGAAATAATGAAAATGATGAATAAAGCAGCTGACATGGTTGGCCTAGAAAATTAATAACAATCTGAAACAGGTACAGAGGCCTAGCAACATCTCTTCAGAGCACCACTGAAATGTGTCTGCTCAAATAAGTGGACATTCCATCTCTACACTATTTAGCAGGAATAATAAGTAAACGAGAACAAAGATATTTATAAACAAATCTGTTCACCAATCTGACCAGAATTTTACAATACTTAAAATACTTGTTTTATAAAAGTGGAAGGACTCATTAGTTATAACTAACCAAGGTTACATTGCAGGTTAAATCTCAATCAAAGAGATTATTAACAGCAACATCTGACACCATGACTGCTACAGAGAAGATGCTCATCTTATTGAATGAATGAGCAATAAATGAATAAAATGGTAAGTGGAGGGCTTTCTAAATTATAAGTCATAACCCACAGTATCATGACCAGTGTTTTTGGAATAAAACAGAAAATATCAAAGTGTATTACCTGTAGTAAGGATAAAAAATTGTGAAACTTTTCTTTCAATTACGTCATTGTGCACTTGTGTGACGGTATATACGTGTGTGGTGGAGTACTAAATCACAACGAAGGATGAATCACTGACTTGTGGTTAAGAAACACTGGGCTTGAACTGCAGCTCTGCCACATCCTAGTTTTGTAACCATGGACACATGACTCAATTCCCTAAGTCTCACTATCAACTAAAAAACAGAGATAATATTAGTATACACCTCACGAAGTTACTAGGGAATAAATGATATAGACATACAATAACAGCTAACACATACCTGGAGCTTATGTAACAAGCTTTGTTCTATATGTGTTACATATAATAATTCACTCATTCCTCATAAATCTATGAATATTGCTATTATCTCAATTTTGCAGATGGAAAACCTAAGGTACACATAGGTTACAAAATATGTCCAAGGTGCCATAGCTAGTAGGCAGCAGTGCCAGAATTCAAGAGAGACAATTTTGCCAGAATCTGAGATCTTTATACCTAATAAAATACCTTAATAAAATACCTAATAAAATACCTAATATGTAGTAAATATACAATAAATGTTAGTTGTGCTATTGTTATTAAAAATAGGTTTTCTGTAAGATTAGAACCTAATAAAAATTTGCAACTTTATGAAACGTTCTGAAAAGTATTTTGTTTCAACAAAAATTCATCTTAAACAAAAGCAATAAATAGTGCTTTAATTTTAAAAACAGGTGTTGATAAAATTCAACATTATTATTCAACACTTTGCAAACTGAAATAGAAAAAAAAAACCACTTGTTTAATAACGATAAAGATTATCTAAAGAAACCTATACTAAATATCACACTTAATGGTGAAATGCTTTTTTTTTTTAGAAAAAAGCTTTCATTTTGATATTGGAAGATAAGGATGGCCCATTATCAACACCTTCATCCAACATTATACTGGAGGTTCTAGCCAGCAGAGTAAAATAAGAAATATACAAAAACTAAACATATTTTTATACTACCCAGAAACAAATGAATTTTTAAAAGATGTCATTTACAATAGCATCAAAAGACATAAAATAGTGAGGATGCAATCTAATAAAGACATAAGATATCTACAGGTAAATTGTAATACACTTATTTTATACAATATTTCTAAGATAAACTGAGGAAGACTTCAGTAAATGGAAAGACATTATGCTCACAGATTGGAAGTCATTACTGTAAAGATACAGATTCAGTAAAATCCCATTCAAAATCTCAACAGGGTGTGTGTGTCTAACCTCACAAGCTAATGCTAAAATGTATATGGAAATGAAAAGAACAAACATAGCACCAATGCTTAAAAACAAGACTTGATCTACTGTATATCAATATCCATTTTATTTATTTATTTATTTATTTATTTATTTATTCATTCATTCATAATATATCTTTATTGATTTCAGAGAGAGGACAGGAGAGGGGGAGAGACAGAAACATCAATGATGAGAGATTCATTCATTGATCGAGCCCGCAACCGGGCATGTGCCCTGACCGGGAATCAAACCCCGATCGCCTGGATCCTAGGTCGACGCTCAACTGCTGAGCCACGCCTGGCCGGGCTCAATATCCATTTTAAAGCAGTAATAATTAAAATACATTTTATTGGCTCAAGGATAGACAAATAGACCCAAGGAACTGAATGGAGAATCCAACAACATAATCATGTATATTCTTCAACACTGCTATAGACAGCGTAATTCAGACAGTGGAATACAATACAGCAATAAATATATTTGAACTACTGCAACAACAAAGATGACTCAAACTAACAACGTTGGGTAAAAGAAGTCAGAAAAAATACTATAGGATTCCACTTATAGTAAATAAGTTAAGACAAAACAAAACAAACAACAAAAAACAAGCACAGAGGGGAAAGAAACACATAGTGAGGAAAGTGCTGGAGTGGAAAGGAGCTTTTGGATACTGGCAATGTTCTATTTCTTGACTTGGGTGGTGCTAGCTTTCTATTAATCCATTAAAAAGTACACTTGTGTTTTATGTACTTTTCTGTATGTGTTATATTTCACAATAAAAAGGTTAAAAACAAAAGCTAGCAGGGCACTTCAGGAAAGGGAAATGACATCAGCAATGTTTGAGGGAACTGCACAGGATATTATCTATTATAGTTAAGTAGTGAAATCTTATGGAAGAATGGTCAGAGATGAGTCTAGAAAGCTACTTTGGAATAGACTGCAATAGAATTTACCCTAGTGATAAAAAGCTACTGAGATTTTTAAATAGAAATGTCTGGATCAAAGTGAGATTAAGAGTATTAATCTCATAATAATATGCAGATGGATAGCATGGGCCATCTAGATTCCAGAGGGGGATGGAGGGGAGCAGGCGACATGAAAGTGTCAAAAATAAACTTGGAGATTCTAAATCAAGGTGGTTATGAAAAATGTGGTATCACTAATAGAAAAGTTGAAAAGCAACAGCTGAGAGACAAAAATCAATGGCTTTAGTTCAAGAGAGGATGATGGGTGAGTCAAGCAGAAATATTCCACAGAAAGTTATTTAGGAGGCAACGGTTAAGGCCTGAGTGAAGGATTTGGGAGTCATCAACACATGGGAGAGTTGAAACAATGGCAAATGCTCCAAGGAGGAAGATGTGTGGAAAAGCAGCAGCAGGATGAAACCTGAAACAGCAAAGGGAAGGTAAGAGGTTAGGGAAGGAAAGTGAGATGAAACGATCAAAGAAATAGGTAAAAGATAAATCCATGACTATGAGAAAGCTAAGGAACAAAAGGATTTTAAAGAGCACTGTCAAATGCAATGCAAGTCAAAAGTGTGAGGAATAAGAAAAGGCTCAAAGATCAGTACTGAGAGGCATTTCAGGAACTGGTTAGAACAAATATCACACTGAGTGAAAAACAGGTGAGTGGTAGAGAAATAAAATTTGTATTTTATTGAGTAGTATTGTTCCATTTGAGTGGAACATTTTGTA